TTTCTCCGGTGCCGTCTCGCACGCGGCCTCGTGCGCCCCGCCGTGCCGGGCGTCCCGCCGCCCGACCCGCTTAACACCTTTCCGAATATCCAGTATTACAGATCGAGACTTCAAATTGACATCCGATTTGCTGATTCCGATGTAATTCTTAAATTATTGGAGCCAATTACAATTCTATTCCAATTCTGAAAGAAGTCGATTTTGTCCATGTCTATTTGCATTGGGTATAGGCATGCGTATGGAATAGGTATAAGTGTGGCTGTGTATAGGTATGGATGTGGTTTTGGATAGTCTCTTCAACCACACATACAACCACATCTCATGAAATATGATTGGGAACTATCACTGACTCGATTCCAATATAAAATCTTAAACCCATGGATAACCGAAAAACGGCTTTATTCGCCCTCGTCCTTGATAGTACTCCGGTACAGAAGAGTTCTTGACTTAGTTTCGATTTATTTTGATTGAATTTTTATCGTTGATTCCTTCTGATTCTCTATTACTAAAAGAAATAAGCTACAAGTATCAAGAAAATGTACTTACAATTGATTATATATATGTTGGAATTGCTTAATAAGAATTTGAATTGGTCATATCATATACGATAATTTTTCAAGAGAATTTTCAGCCATATGTTATTATATGTGGTACTACAAAAAAAGAAGCTCATCATTTAGCTAGCTTTAGAAAAACTCTGAAGCTATGTCGTCTATGCTCTCATTGACGATAATATAAAGAAATTTCAAGTCTAAGGGGTCGAAAAAATGCACAAGCAATCCATTACATTCAATCAACTCTTAAACTCTGTTTTAAACTAGAGAACTATAACGTGGTTTTTGTCAAGTCAATATCAAACAGACATATACTTACTATGGAAGCGCCCGAAGTGATATCTCGTGTTTGAGATGAGACATCAGTCTTTAAGTCAGGTTCATTGAGACTAGAAAAATCTAGGACAATTCTTTCTCATACACTATCGTTTAGGAATTATGATCATTACACTGAATACTTTACCTTTGACATGGTATTAAAAAATAAGTGGACAAACAAATTTAGACCTGAAACTTTGTCCATAGACAACTCTCGAAATCATTAGAATCTCTTAAAAATTTCAACCAAAAAGGGTTATCTCTTCTTCAGATATGAACTTCACAACAAACATGATATTCCACCACAAAGATGGAAATCTAGTTTTTCCTTTTGGTAGATTTGATATCTCGAAAAGAGACCAATCTTTTCAGTTAAAATTTTTAGGAGACTAATGACTTCATGAACTTTCTATGGACAAAGTTTTAGGTCAAAACTCTTATGTTCAGTGTAATGGTCGTAACTTCAAAACAGCAGTACATGAGGAAGAATCCTTCCAGGCTTCTTGTATTTCTAACAGATCCTGCATCATGATTGGGGTCTCATCTCAAACGCGATTTATTTTCTCGAGTGGTTCTCTCGTTAGTTGGCACGGTGAGTTCTCTAACAATGCTGAACAACTTTTTTTAATAAAGACAAAGTCAATTAATTCAATTATGTTTATGTATACTCATATGGATATAAATTTCGTTTAAAATACGAAACGGATGAATACGTTTTAAATTGTCCTTACCTATCATCAATATAACGAAAACTTCGAAACATGACAGCAACATTCGATCTAATCACTTTTGCTGCTGAAACTTGTTTTCATTATCTCGAAAGAAAAACAGAAGTTTGTATCGAAGTTTCGAACGAAACTTTACAAAATAACGAATCGAATGGGATATCTAGGAAATTAAAAAAATCGAGAACAATAACTAATCATTAGTTACTATATAGTCATTTTTTTTTCAGAGATTCGATGATATTTATTTAGCAAGAAAATAAAAAGAAGTGCAGATATATTATTTTAAATGTTATAAAAATATCTTTTAATTTAAACATTCATTTTATATTAATTTATTGAGTTTAAATATTTTAGTATAATAAACTGTTTCATTTTCGTTTGAAACTTGATTCGTAATCGAAAACATCTGCTATCATTTGTAATAATATTTCTATGCAATATATTTGTGATAGAAATATAAAAAATACTTTGTAAAATGCTGCTTAAGCTATTTTGAAGTGAGACTGATGATAATAATGATAATCACAGAACTGTATGAAATATTAATGAATATAAAGCTTGATTTGCAATCTTATAATAGAATCATGTGGTCTTCACAGTGTATTCAAAACTTTGAATGAAGACATTAGTGTAATTATTGAAAAAGTGATTGACGACGACTATTCAATTCTCTATCTAGGTTTAATTGTGGAGTTTTGCTTGGGTCAACAATAAGCACTGTTATGCCTGTGTTTTTTTTATTTATAAACAATTGAAGAATTCTATTCTGCGAACAATACCAATTTCATATCCAATTCTTATAAAACAACACTTCAAACTTTTCAACAAAACTCTTTATGAGTTTCATCTTGTACAAAAAAGTAAAGTCTTTTATGGGCAAGGGCATTCTTGTAATATAATTTTCTCCAAACTATTTAATTGTTCTTTGTTTCTTGTTTCATTATTTTAACTGTTTCTTGAAATAAATCAAATCAGCTATACTATTGAATAAGTAAAAGGCATTCAAATCAATAAGAATCGTACAAAATTCACTGTGATATATAAAGATATATTAAATTAAGAGATTTCTTATATGAAATTCGAAAGTATAAAATATTTTTTCATATTAATATAAAGCTTATAAGAACCATATGTTTATTGATTACAATTAATATATAATATTCCAATATATTCTTCTATTAGACATCACTTAAATAATTTTTAAAATACTATTGATACAGATTTAGCTAGATCCTACCTAACTAAATATTTCAAGACAGTTAATTGAATTTTCATCTAAAAAGATAGTTTTTGATGGGAATCAAAAAGAAAAGGCATATCCATTTTGAAAAATAATATTTTTCAGTTTTTAACGAAACTTGATGTTGTCCATATGAATATTTATCTTTCCCACATGCTATTATTTAACCATCAAATTAATCATGAACCATAATTTGATTAATTATTTACAAGTTGAACAGAACAAATTGTTCTTTGAAAAACAACATCATGTGATAAATCAATATAAATCTTTATCATAAATAGAATACTATTTTTATCTTATTAAAAATCAAAGTTTAGTAATTTATCCAAAATCATTTTTTTTATTTCACGTGACAATATTAATATTTTAGTTTCTGTTTTTCTATGAATTGTTCTCTGAATTGATCAATCTGTTTATCTAATTCCAATCGATATTCGTTTATATAACACATAAAACAATCTTATTTGTTTTTTAGAAAATATACTACATGAATAAATCTAACGCTTTGATAACGTAGTCGATGCTGTTTATTTGCATGAAATGAATCTTATTGTGATTATGACAAGATTAAAACGATAAAAAATATTTTCATAAACGAAAAAACATGAAACTATGTACAACAAGATATACACAATATAATATACATTCCATATGATATGAAACGAGTACAAATAATTTTACTTTCTTGTTTGTCTGTTTTTCTCTTGTAACAATTAGGTCATTTAGTTAATATAACCAAACGACCGTTTTATCATCAAATAAAATTGAATTCTATTTTTTTATGGTAGAAATGAATCAAAAACTAGAAATTTATTTAATGCTGATTATTATTTTCTATGGAGTATTATAAATGCGTTATAGATCACAAGATTTAATATGTTTCAGGAAAGGTTTAATCGAAAAAAAAAAATTGCTCTAATAACAAAAATTACATCTATCATTTTCATTCAAATTATAGAAAAAAAAGATACATCATATCAAATTACATGCTAATAAATAAAGACAAAATTTCTACATTGAAACAATTTCACATAGACGTACAATTCGATCCCAAGCACCTATAGCTAATTTATCTCGTTCAAATAAATTCCAATCAAGACCATAAATAAAATCTTTACAAATACGTTCTGTATGTATATTTATTGAATTTAAATTCCATAATTTCAATTGTCCATCATAACCAGTTGACGCTAAACGATCACGTCTATGTGGATCAAATTTAACACGACGAATAGCAGCTTCATGTCCTTCAAAAATTGTTATTGCATTTGTTATCATACGAATATCCCATAAACGGAGACGATTATCACAAGCACCTGTTATTAATAAATGATCATCATATTTTGACCAATCTAAAGAAAGAATTTCAGTTGGATGTGCACGTGGACTAACAATATCTGATGATTGTTTTATATCAAATAGACGTAGTGAACAATCGGCTGAAACAGATGCTATAAGACCAGATTGACGAGGATGCCATCGAGCTTCATATACAACTGATTCATGTCCTGATAGAGTTTTATAAACAGTAGGTGAACTAAAACAAAATTTTAAAATTCTAATCATTATGTTTTTGAAAAATTCATTCTTTTCTTTTTCACCTATTAAAATTCCATAATTTAATTGTACCATCAGCTGAAGTACTAAGTAAAGCATCATTTGATCGACTTTCACTCCAATGAACACACCATACTTCACGTTTATGTTCTTGTAAAGATAATAATGGTAAAGAATTTGTATTATTCAGTTGCCATAGGTTTATTGAACCATCACCACTAGCAGAAACAATTAATGATGGATCCGTTTCAACAAAACACATGTCAAATAATGCATCAGACCAATTAAAAATTAATTGATCATGATTATTAATTAATTGAATTGTACTACGACCACGAATACCAAAATTTTCACATGAAACAATAGCTAGTTGGTTAAGTATATGCGGTGAATAACGAAGACTATAACATGCATCAGTTAAACGTGTTTGAGCTGTTATACGAAAAAGCATCTACAGGAACACATATATAATCTTAATAAATCATCATTTTGTTTGTTTTTTTTTTTTGTTGACTTTTATTGGTTTTGAAATAAATGGAAAAAACATAACTACACTGAAATAAATTTTTTTATCAAACAGATAATGTTACGAAAAAAAAGTAAAATACATAAAAACCTGATGAAAATAAAAATTGTGTTTCAATTGATTATCTTTAGAATGTTTTCATCATTGCTACTAGATTATATTCCATCTACTGTGACAATCGAATAATAATTATATTGGTTCTAGAATAAGCCTTTTAAATAAACCTACATTTTTGAATGCCCTGAAAATTTCAGTGTTAAGAGATACATTACTCTACAAAATATTGACTGGCGCAACACAATCATATGTTACAAAGATAGTCCAATTTTTTCAACATTCGATATCTCAGGAAAAAATCTATTTCTTTAGACTAATATTTTCAAGGCATTTTAAGATCCACAAGATCTACATATGATAGAAATTTCCTAATTCGATTGTTACATAAATTTCTTATCTGAGATAAAAAAAATTCAGTAAAATCATAATAACTTGTAACAGACAGATCATGAAGACCAGAGATGCTCACTGGACAGGAGAAGATCTTCATACTGTGCAGATTTGAACCATCAAGTTTCTGAGTTTTCATTTTCGGAAAGAGCATTTATTTGGGTCTTTGTGAGTCAAAAACTGAAAATATATTACAAAAGGTGGTACCAGCTCGTACTTAGAGTTGTCCTCTAATTGAACGGTGTTTTTTTTTCTGACTTTTCTGTCAACAAGGCAGAGCAGAGTGTAAAAATTTATCCTGTGAGCACCTCTGATAGGGACGAATTCTTTCAGATTTCTATTAGTGTCTCGTCGAAGTCTACTCATGAGCAAACTATCGGTACGCTTGGCAAATTACATTAGAGGAAGAAACAGCAGTGACTTCAGTCTTGAAGCCTGATGTTTTTCCTCAGTCATACATCGTGAGTCTTAACATTAATTCGGATTTTATTTTTTAATCAATATCTGTTAATTTAAATATTGTGATATATAAAACTTTTAAGTTCGTAAGACATCTCAATTGGTTTTTCACGTATTTAGAAAATTATCAAACCATTGCTTATAACTATCTTAATTCCATATTGATTAGATTTTTTTTCTATCTATAGATAACACTCATTGACTTCTTGTCGATCATTGATAACATCATTTTCAGACCACGTACAGCATTCAATACAAATTAAATGAACCCAAAAAAAGAATATATTCATGATTCACAATCAACAGCCATTGTCATGCTCAACTTTCATCATCACACTTCTTATAAGCATTCTCAATACTCCCGAATGATTTCCATAATAATATTTTTTTTTGTCATCAATACACCATTAGTTCATGTTCATCTTTCATTTTAATAGAGGAGTTCCATTTCAATGATATACATTATATATATCTAAAGAAATATTATTTTGTTTGTTTTTAGAATAAAGGAATAATAATAGTAGTAGTATTAGTAGTAATACAAAATAGAGCGATAAGAAGAAATAATTAAACTAGCACAAAAGAAAACAATCTACATTTATACGATCGGGCGCGTAGCTATGCAATAAACATAGACATACAGACACACCTAAACATACACCGGACCTTCGAAGACGATTCATTCTCGAATACAAAAGATAAAGAACACCGAAAGAAAGAAACAAAAAACGACCGGAGAATGAATACCATGATGAGCAATTAATGAAGGAAGAAAAAAAAGAATGTATTTTTCTTCTCTGCTCTTTATACAAGATACGCGCATGGAAAGCAACAAATTGAAAAAAAAAAGAACGAACCGTATAGAAAGTGTATTGATTCTTTTAATATAAATACGTAATGTTGAAACAAAAAGAAAAATATTATTTCAATGTGTTTTTTTTTCTTTGTATTAGGTATTGGCATGATAAAGCCATTGATGATTTTGTTTAATAGATTTGATCTAATTAAAATCGTATAAATGAAATTCAAATGTATAAATATTAATAATAAAAAACACATACTTTAAGTTGTGTATCGTCCAAAGCTGCCATTGGCCGAGGATCCTGTACCGGTAGTTCCATGTCCACTGGAATTGCAGCGTAATCTAAATCAAAAAAGAAAATATTTTCATCGAAAAACATAAAAATGAAATTCTTGTCATTTTAGTCAAGTCAATAATTAGTTTGTTTTTTGTTCAACTGTTTCCCTTTGTAGCTCAATACTAGAAACACATACCCTGACCAAGTAACACGACGAGAAGCTCCTGTTTATATATTTCAAAAATTTATTTTGATGCCTTAGTAGATTTCTTTTTCTTTTTTGTATCTCTTTTCAACATACCTGCTTGATTAAGAAAAAGAGGATCATCGATATAATCCGTCGAACTCAATGCATCAGGTGTTCGATTAATACTATTTCGACCTTAAAAAAAAAAAAGAAAATAATTTTTTCTATCATTAAAATTAACTTATTTAATTATAAAATAAATATATATTCAATAATACCTTCACCAACTCCACTATCTTCACTATTTTGTCGTTTATGATGAAGTAAATCATCAATTAATGAATCAATTGTGGCATTGTCAGCCGATGGATTATTCGTATTAATACGATGATTAAGCATTTTTCGTATATCAGCTTCCTACAAAAAATAATAAAAGAAAATAAATCTAATTTATTTTAGAATAATTAAAATATTTGCAACATAAAGGACACTACCACCAATGAGCAAAGAAAACACATGTATATATAGAAATATATATTATAAGCTTATATCATACCGTTAGTATCCTACTATTATTAATTGTTTTATCTGTTCATATGAATTAGTTATTAATAAAGAGAAAGAGAAGGAAAAAAAAAAGATTATCCTTACCATCCTTTCTAATTCTTCTTTACGTTGTTGTAAAGCTCGTTGTTCATTTAAAATTTCTGAAAGTTTATTTTTTAATGGATCTTGTTGATGAGAAACAATTGGTGGAGAATTTGTTGTTAATTGAGCCATACTCGTTGTTGGTGAGAGTGTCGATGATGAAAGTCGTTGTTGATGAAATGGTGATGATGATGTTGGAATAGGTGATGTTGATGATTGTGGAATAGACATTGCTGTTGGTGGAATGGGTACATCAAGTCGTTTAGTCATCATCGAACGATAATAATCTATTTAAATAAAAATCGAAATGAATAAAAAATTCGAAAGTAAATAATTTACTTGGTCGTGGATCATCCCAACATGTTTGTTTATTATTGTGATCAATAAAATAAATATTGCCTCGTGCATCACGTGATTGTTCGTATCCATCAGGTAACGGAAGTGTAGCACAAAATGATTGAAATGCTGCATAATGACTCGGTCGTGGATCCATCCAAGTTGTACATTGTGTCATATGACTAAAAGAATAAAAATTCAAATTAGCTAAATGAACATAACAGAAACAGCTGGATAAAAAAACGATCATAAAAGAAGTGTTCATTATAATTAAATTTTATGAAACAAAACAAAATAATAATCTTACTCAATATAATAAGTTTGTCCATCGGGTGTTTGTTTTTCTTCCCAACCATCAGGTAATGGAAGTAATGATACTTGAGAATTAATTTGTGATAATGTTGTATTTGTTGATGCCATTGTTGTACCTTGTCCATCAAGTACAGCTGTATCACTGACAGTTCTTAAATGTCCTTGTACATGATTATTATTAATTATTGTACGTAATAATGTAGTTGATTGTGATGGAATGTTAGGTAAACTAAGTTGGTTTTTTGCATGTTGACGATGTGCACTTTGTTGTTGTTCATTATTTATTGAACTTGATGATGTTGCAGTAGATTGTGATAATGTATTATTAGGTGATGATGATGGTGGTTGAAAAAATGATTCAGGTAAACCCCGATCGCGAAATGGTTTTGATAATAATTGTGTACGATATTGTGTTGGATTATTCACAACAGAAAAAAGTTCATTTAATGCTGTTTGATTTTGATCTTCGACACGAATATAAGATGAACGATTGCTGTTAGTCATCGATCACTCGGCTAAGTCACGGATATATCGCCACGACTTTTTTATTTCTCTATATACTGAAAATAACGACACAAAACTATAAATGAAAAGTTATAATTTTTTTTTTTTTTTATAGATGTGTGAATATATAGGAAGGAAATGAGAGGTGAGAAAAGAAAAAGAAGAATTATACATCAATGTGTCATTAACTTATGCATATGTCCGTTGGTCAAGAACACCTTCTGTTCGTTATTTTTTTTTTTTTTTTTTGAAATGATGAATGATCGCTGCGCTCAGCTGGTCACACTTTCATTCATTACTATATGATTAGCGGAGAATATTTAACCAATGAAATAAATGTATCATTAAAGAGGCTATTTCCTTAGAGACATGGAATAAATATGTTCGAGAAAAATATGAATTTAGTCAATATTTCTATTTAATTATTAGTTGAAGAAGACAAAATATGAGACAAAGTCAAGTGATTTATATCAAGTGGAAATAAATTTAATTCATGAAAAAGAATTCTGTATAATTAAAATGTAGACAAATAAATGGAGATATTGACTAATTATTTTTTGGTTAATTAATTATTATAAACATATTTTTTTATATACCACTTCGTATTTAATCAATCTGTAATTCGTGTTTTTTTTCTTGGTCAAGCAAGAATATAAACTAGTTCTATCTTGAACGCAAGTATTATGCCAAAATTTATTTTATTAAACTCATAAGATTTAAAATGATAAGTACAAGTTAAAACAACTAATACGTTCCATGAAGAATTATTATCGGATTGACTCATTCTCGTGCGATTAATGTTAGAGTTTGTATTCATTTTCAAAATGTTCATCTATCTTAAACACGCGAATGTGACGCGTGTTGATTATCAACTTTGAGATGTTTTATCTTTTCATATGACTATTCGATTTGATATGAAAGTCTCGTAATCATTTAATTCATAAAAGAAATATCAAGAATCTAACACGAGATTATCACCCTTCAGCTAGTATATAGAATGTTCTAAAAATTTAAACGAAAACAAAAAAAGGTTGTCGAATAATTTCTGAAGAAAAAATGAGCCAGGATCAAATGTTCGGTATACGTAACTTCTCTTTGTAGAACTATTGAACACATTATACCTTGTATGACTTTAACAAGAGATGTTTCGTTGTAATCTGATATAATATTATTTATTGTAATGAGCAAGCTTATGCAATAAATTGACTACTTAATCTTAGCTTATTTTCACAAGCATCCTTAACTTCATTGACTGTTTCTTCAGTACTTGCCTTACGATCTTTCAGAATGTCATCAATTGTCGACAGTATCAGTTTCGTACGATTGCTGAAATGTCGTTGTAATATAGGATTCAGTTGGCGTGTTTTTTTTTCTTGGTGAATTCGACTTGCAGCTTATACAATGAAACCTCTTCAGCTGTCACTTGTCGCTTTCGATGATTTTCTTTGCCTAGAGATACTTCATATTGTTCTAATAAAAACCCTAAAAAGATTTCAATTCATAGTGAGATTTGATTAAGCTGTCAAATTTTTAATATGTCAAATTTCTAGAGTTTCCAGATTTTTGGAAAACTCATATTTTCAAATTTCAACCTCTGATATGAGACTTTCAACATATAGACTCTTTTTTGTGTATACCGCATACAACATGCATGTTTTTTAAAGGACGCTAGTCTAGTTGAGTTCTTTATACACGCAAAATTTTAGATCGAAATTTGAAAATACGAGTTTTCCGAAAATCTGGGGTTTCTAGAAAATAGACATATTAACAATTTTGATAGCTTAGTTAGCCATTTGTAGGAATCGAAATTCTTTTGAAATTTTCATTAGGACACTATGCAGTACCTTAGACATAGACATTTTATCTGAAAACTTTAATGAACATGTGATCAAACTGTAACAAAAAAATATATTGAAATCACTGGAATTGCTGAAAACTTATTCACACTCTTGCTTTTTTTTTGTTTTTGGACTTTTAAAACGTTGTGTATAATAAAATATCATCTATTCAACAGTAGTGTTTTCTATTTGATCAATAGGCAATGATGAAATAATTTATATATTTTGTGGAAGTTTAA